ACCTTCTGTAAAAGGCTGATGGATTTTTCTTCGAGCCCTGCCTCACTTCACACAGTTTAGACACAGTCTTTGGTTGAGGCAGTCCATATCGAACCCCACACAGTACCAATTGCTTCAACTGAGCTCTTTCTCTCCCTACATTAGGATCCCACTCCGGGTCCCTTGTTGTAGGTAGATAAGTCTCAGAGTCATCCTGCATATCATTCCTCCTCTCCCCCTCTTCTCTGGCTTTTTCAACAACCATTCTTTTTTCCTCTGTCATGAAAAATGTATTTAACAAAGCTTGTACATCTCCCCAGTGGGGATTATGTGTTAGCTTTATCGTTTCTAACAATTGGTTCACCTTTTCAGGGTGTTCTCTGTATGATCCAAAAGATTGTTTCCAATTCAATAGGTCAGAGGTAGTAAACAGAACATGCACAAAGACCGGCTGTCCCTCTGGCCCTACTGCTTGTCTCAAAAGGGAGCCTGGAAAGCTGGTTGTGCATGCCCTGTAGTCTGACTGGAAACAGGATTAAAATTTTCATTGCTCAATGGTGAGCTAGAATCAGCTGGGGACTCCTCGATATCTCTGTATGGGGGTGGGGCTGTTGGGACCAGTAACTGTACATCCTCCTGTTATGCTTCTCTTGCAACCTTTCTATCACCACATCCCCCATGATGACTGCTTTCCTTTTTCCCAGTAGTCGCATACATCACCGAGTCAGCTGTTAGCTTATATTCCTGATTAACATCAGGCTCTCTGTACAGAATCATAAAAGCATCACCGTAAGGCACTTCATCCCACTTTCCCGTCCGACGGCAAAATAACATCAATCGTAATACAGTATTTATAGTTTACCGATCCATTCTCTGGCCAGACCTCACCATCACCCAGTTTCTAATTTGGCCATCATTGCTTACAGTAGTTTTTCATCCTTTTGTTAGTCATTGCATCGCCTCCAAACTTTTCCGAAGTTTTCAGAATACACCCCAAAGGACTACAGGGAGCAGTAGATATGCATTGGTTTGACCCCATCATTTTCCTTATACCCGTACCTGTACCTAATTTTTTCTATACAAGGGTGTACCCTGTGTGAGCTAAGTTCTGGAAGCCCCCTGCTGCAACACGTCTAGGCGCAGACACACTTCTTATTCCACAGAAAAAAACAACTGTTGAAAAAACGCTCTGTGAGCGTTGCACCGCTGAGCCGCTCACCACCCCAACGCAGAAGGAGACCTGAACACGTCCCCGATCAATTAGTTGGTGCGTTCAGGACTCCTGTCTCATCTGTTTCTCCTCCACTGTGGACAGCAAGATGATCTGGGAAAAGCATTACAACTGTCCTACAGGGATTTCAAAAATATTGCCCCAAAGAAGGGTTCTTTCACCTGCTGTGCAAGGAGCCGACAAACACACGCAGTCGCCACGTTTGTTTCATTCATTTCTGCGCACACGTGGGTGCTAGGTGGTAAGGCCACAAAGCTAGCACACCCGATTACTACACAGCTTACGCTCTGTACAGTTTAAGCAACAGTTCTGCCCCGCTTCTAACTACATTAAGGCATCGGTGGTCCCATTGGTTCTGTCAGGGCTCCTCTTCGTTCCGAGTCACAGTAGCCTCTTTTTCTACTACGCATGCTCTAGGGGGAAGGGGCTTTGACCAGCAGGGGGGCTTCCCTGCTTGCAGTTGGGTTTTCTCTTATGCTCATTCGGATAGTTCACCCTTCGTTCAAGTAGTTCTCTCCTGTTTATCGCCTGGTTTTGTTCTCGTCAGCTTTTTATGTGGGTACTTGCTTAGCTGGTTGCCTTAGAGTGTTGTCTTGCTCCTTCCTTCAGGGCCTTGTTTTGTTAACTGCCTGTGAAAGACTGACTAATACCCCAATCGCCTTGTTCCCCATCCCTCCAACAAGACCTCCCTCCCTTTTTGCCCGTTGCCTCGCAGCCTGTCACCGGGCACCACTGGGCACAGTGTGCCTCCAGCCTCTGGACACCCTCCCTCCACATAGTCATGCCCATTGAGAAGCTGCTCCTCCACCTGGCTTGTGCAGTGCCGGTGCCTGAAGAGCTCCCGTTGTGGAGGGGCTGGAACCCCCAGTGCCTGGGCAGAGCTCTGGCCTCTGATGGCCTGTTGCTGGCATGGGCAAATCCCGTGGTGTCGGCAGCTGGCCACAGGCGCTCACAGCCTTTGGTGCGCAAAGGGGAGCCCAGCGCTTCCTCATCTCCGGTGGTGGGAGGGCAGGCTGCAGGGCAGAGCAATGGCTGCAGCCTTGCCTTCTGGCTCAGGAGACTTGCCGGCGAGGGGCCACCTCGGTGTCCTGAATCATGCGGAGGGGCTGATTGCCTCCCAAGGCAGAATCTTGTCACCACCACTGCGCTCTCCCATCCAGGCCTGACCCTTTTGTCAGGGAAAACGGG